GGAAAGGCCTGTGCAGGTTACATATGCAAGGATGGAAACATATTGGGCTGTCATATGTCCCTTTCTCCTTACAGCCTGGTGGTGCTTCCTGTCCAATTACAAATTCTGTTCGTGCCTTGGCTTCCCTTCTGAGCTCTGCTGTTAAAACCCAGCCTCTGCCCTTGGGGTAGAGAGCAATCACCACTCTGTAAAGAGGAAGAGCCTCTGGCTATGCCCAATCCTGGTGAAACAGCAGCACAAGAACCCTCACAGGACTTCCCAGTGGATCTCCCCAAGGTGTCTGCAGGTGGGTGCACAGCCACTGGCACCCCGCGGACACACGTCCATGCTTCTGCATATCCAGCCTGGTCTCACCTTGGCAACAGCCTCCTTCCTCTGCCAAGTCTTGAGGCTGCTCTTGAGGTCGGTAACACCCATCTTCTGCTGCAGGTAACTCAGCACAGGGGGCGCTCTGTGGTCTGAAAGCTGCTTCTGCAGCTGCCAGTTCACACTCTCAGCTTGAGCTTGTTGCTGCCAGAGGAATAAGGACAGAGGGCTGGGAGATCCCACGGAAAATTCCCACTGCTAGCTCGTAGCCAGTCTGCCAGGGAAGCAGGCAGGCAGCATAAATAAAACCCCTGACACTGTGGGGGACAGTGGAATGCATCCATCAGTGCCTCCACCCCTGCCAGCAGCACTGCTAAGGAGTCCCCTGAACCCACTTCTCAAAGCAGTGGTGTCCCCACGAGGCTGTATCCCCCCAGCCTGGTATGACAGCAGTGCCACTTCTCCCTGGGGAGGACACTGCTGATGAAAAGTTCAAGGAAACAGAATTTCAAGATGCCACCAGCAGGTCCCTGTGGACCAGGGCCACAATCCACACCATGGCCTGTTCTGCAAAGCTGCTCATGCTTACTGACACCAGCAGGAGCCCCAAGACTTGCTCAGATCCAGAAAGGCACACAGGTAGCCAGCTCACTCCCAGGCCTCAAATGGACATCAGTATCCAACACACCAGAAAAGAACCTCAACAGAGTCTTCCCAACTGAAGCCTCAAAGGCTCCCAAGTCACTCTTACCTCCTCCACCAGAGCAGCTTCTCTTTCAGTTTTCTCCAGCAGCTGCTTCCTCTGGGAGATGTCTTTCATCAGAGTTGTGGATGTTTCCACAGCATCCTGCAGCTTCCTCTGGAACAGGAAAGCAGAATATCAGTGGGCACAGCAGCAGCTCCCAGCCACCTTCCAAGACATCCCTCTACTCCTTCATCTTGGTCTCAGCAGATGGTGTGGGAGCTCTGCTCCTAAGGGAGCACCCTGGCACAGAGCAGAAAGCAGCATCATGTCCTGGTCACGCAGGTACTGCTTTGTGCTGTCCCCTGTGTCACACTGCAGCACAGCCCACAGCAGAACAGCCGGGGTCTAGGGCTGAGCCTAATGGAACTGAGGGAGAGGGGTAAACACACCCAGCTGAGAAGCACCTTCTCCCATAAGAAAAGATGCTGCAGCTCAGGACTTTGTTTCAGATGTCACAAGTCATGTTCAACATGTATTCTCCTGTGCAAGTCAGCACCAAAGCTCTTTCCTACTGCAGGATTCCCCTGGCGTGTGAAATAACCTTGCTGCAAAGCATGAAGCCCATCATCAGGCTGCAGCCAAACATGAATGAGGTCATCACTGCTTCTGGTGTATCAGGCAACCCCCCAACCCAACTACTATGTCAGTGGGGAGGCAGAGGGGGTTCAGCATCCTCTGACTGGCAGAGGGAATGATGCAAGAGCTCATGTGTTTCCTCAGAAACAGAGGAAAGGCAAAACAGAGGTGTGGGAGGTTCACTCACTTTATAGAACTTGAGAACTTGGACAGTCTTTGCTGAGGTAGTTTTTAACTGCAGCAGCTCCTGGTTCTTCTCATCCATCTTCTTCTGGCACTGGGCATTCCTAACCTGTAGCTGCTGCAAACGGACCTCACAGGGTGTTTCTCCCACCTGCTCCTTCTGCAAAGACCAAGGAAGCAGAGCTGTAGGTTGCTGACCAAAGCTGATCCCAACTAAGAGAGCTTTGCAGACCTAAAAAACAGGGTCTTCATCCTGGCTGCAAACCTGGGGCTCAGGGAGAAGCCCAAGAGACAGCATGCCACTGAGCCTGTGCTGTGTGTCCATCTTAGAGGGGCCAAGCAGTGCAGACAGGTCCCCTCTGGTAAGGCTCCTGTCATGCCAGCAGCAGCCAGTTCCCAGGGAACTGCTTGGATTCATTGAACCCAGGCAGTGCCCTCCGGTAAAGCCCAGGAGCAGAGGAGGAAGGGGAGGAGGAAGGCCACGTGTCTCTGGAGAGAGCAGGCCCTGCATCTGCACTGGGCTGTGCTCCTTTTGTCCTTCAAGGAGCCACCTAGTCCCTGTTTCTCCTCAACTGCTGCACACACCTGCCTGAGCTGCTTCTGAAGCTTCTTCTTGTAACCCTTCAGCAAGTAATTTTTTAAGCGCAACTTCTCTCTCAGCAGATCCTGAAGAAAGACAGCAGGTTATGGTGGAACAGCATTTCACCACTGCAGCCTTCACTGCTGGCTTAGAGAGAAGCCCAGGGAGAAATGCTGCACACATACGGGCATGGCCAGGGGCTTCCCAAGAGCAGTGTGCTCACAGCTGTAGCTCTCCAGCCTGTGGAGCACTGGGCCAGTCACTGACTGAGAGCATGGCAAGGGCTGTCCAAAGAGACTTGCCAAGGCAGTCTGAAAATGTGAGGTAGACACACAAGACTACAGGAACTAGGGATTTTTCCCAACCACATAACTATCAGATGATAGACCAGCCTCAAAATTGCCCCACTCTGCTCTGCATTGGTGCGGCCTCACCTTAAGCACTGCCTGCAGTTTTGGGCACCACAATATCAAAAGGACATCAAGCTATTGGAGAGTGTCCAAAGGAGAGCCACAAGGATGGAGAAGGGTCTGGATGGGATGACTTATGAGGAGCAGCTAAGGACACTTGGATTATTTAGCTTGGAGAAATGGAGGCTGAGGGGTGACCTCACTGCAATCTATGGCTTCCTCACCAGGGGAAGAGATGGGGCAGGTCCTGATCTCTTCACCCCTGTGACCAGTGACAAGGCTGGGGAAAATGGCAGGAGGCTGAATCAGGGGAGGTTTAGGTTGGATATCAGGAAAAGGCCTTTTCACCAGAGGGTGGTTGAGCACTGGAACAAGCTCCCCAGGGCAGTGGTCACAGCACCAGGCCTGCCTGAGTCCAAGAAGTGTCTGATGATGCTCTCAGACACATGGTGTGATTCTTGGGATGCCCTACACAGGAACCAGAGTTGGACTCAATGATCCTGATGGGTCCCTTCCAACTCAGCATGTTCTATGATTCTATGAAGATTTGCCATGATACACGGACCCTCTGGCGGTTCTTCTCCTCCATGTATCCCAGCAGCTTCTGAGAATCTATGATACTCCCTCTCTTGCAGGAAATCACGCTGATGATGTCATTCTCAAAGTCTCTGAGGGCTTGCTTAACATCAGTCCACCAAACGTCTGCTTCTTCTGTGACTGCCTGTAGAAATAAGGTCACATAACAGTCAAGAGGTGCTAACTTCCCTTATTCAAACAGCTCTGGGAACAGAGAACACCAGGAAGGACCAGGCATACTCTCTGCAGTGTTACTAGCATTTCTCCTGTGGGAGCAGTGAGTGTCACCCTGTGTAACGCAGGGCACATGGCACAGGCTCACACAGCACTGCTACTTCACTGACTGAAAAAGAACAAGAAAAAACATCTCTCATATACCTGAGCCTCAACATCTGTCACTCCATCCTGACCTACAAACATGACCAATCTGACCCAGCCAACACAAGACAAATTACCACCCTTTGTGTACTGGATATGCCGTGTGGCCACATGAGAGGGACTAGTTGCTTGCTTCACCTTCGAAATGGAGAGGCTTCTCCTTCCCCAAAAGCTCCTGAGCATCTTGGCTAGGAGGAGGTCTTGGTGGCCAGCACAGGGCAAGCAGGGATGGTGATGGAGCCACAAGGAGCCTGCTAGGAATGTAGGCTCAGAGACTTGAAGTATGCTCTAAAGAAATCCCAGAGACAGTAGAAAGGCAGACACCAGAGAGGACTGCATGGAGCCAAATCAGGAAGCTTCTGGGAGCTGCTAGAATGGAAAATACATCTGGCACAAAAGGGCACACTTTCAAAAGCTAACACAAAGGAGATTTTTCTTTCAAGCATTGATGCCTTCATCTCACACAACAGATCTGAGCTTCTCTACATAAAAATCTGCCCCTCACCTGTATTATTAACTAGTTCCTGCCATTAAAAGATCCATATTTAGATACTAGTCACCTCTGATCTCTGTTCGTGTACTTGGGTGAGGTGGGAGGAGAGTTCTTCTGACGTTGCTCAACTCAGGACCACTCATAGCAATGCTCTGCTACGAACAGCCCTCACCTAGCAGGCTTGTCTCACTCCCTGAGGGATGGCAGTAACAAATACTATAACAAGTAACAAGTACCAAGCAAAGTAAGAAGACTGACGTAGTGGTGATTAAAAGGGTCCTGGGGAGCCATACCTCGAGGCTCTGCAAGGTCTGCTCTGAGTCCTCCTTCGTCCTCTGAATCTCATTCTCCACCTCACTCAGCTCCCACTGAGCCAGCTCACATTTCTGCTCCACTGTCAGGCCTACAAGACAGTCTGTTGCACTGTGAAGCTTGGATTTGTACCTGCCAGTTGTCTGCAACAAACAGGAAACACAGGTGCCCTTAGAAAGCCAGTACTGGCCTGTATTCAAAAAGAAAATCATGTCAATGGTCATGTTAGTGGGATTCCAGCTAGGGCAAGGAGACCTCTCCAGAGCAGAGGTAACTCAGGGCCACACACATCATGTCCTTTCACCCACCCACAAAACCCTCCTATGCAAGCACTTTCAGTTCAATTCAACAGGCAAATCCAGGGCTAGAGGTTAAAGCCAATGTGACAGATTGGCGTGGACTGCTAGAATACCTCTCTGTAGTAAAGATGCCAGTTGTTGTGTAGGACAGATGGGGTCTTCTACCACTGGCTGGGTCAGACACCCTGAGCAGCACCATGGATAGCTGGAGTCTGCTCTGGGAAGAGCTGACACCCCTTTGAGGCAATTCCAGGTGCTGTGGGGAGGCACTGGAGTCACACACTGCTTTGCAGAGTGCAAGTGACCTTTTGGCCTGAGGCAAAGCTTCTAAAGGCTCAGTCTGGGCCTAACCAGAGAGCCACTAATTTGGGATAAAACCCAGGGCAGAATGCTGGCTGAAAGGAGCTCCACCACAAAGAGTCTAGAAGCTTCTGTTTATTCCATCTCTGGTGAGGTGAAAAAGCACCTTTCAGGCCAGGAGGTAAAAATCTAATCCAAAAGGATGTTCACAACCTCAATGATATGGAGAGGAACACACACCCAGCTAAGGTACAGGGTAGGGATGCACATTGGTTTGAGCCCACAAGAATTTCCCGAGGGGGAGGTAAGGAGCACTGTCCCATCACAGACCTGCCAAGTCTCCTGCTTTCTTGGCATTAGTCTCCCTGTTAGTTTAACTTCTACTTCAAATTATGCTGGGGGATGTTAACTCGTTCCAGATCTCCCTGGCATT